GGCGATAGAGCAAAACTTGCAAGAACACTTGTTCACTGAGGCAGAACCACGGCTACCAGATGAACGCATGTCCTGAGAAAACAAAGGGGGCTTTAAACTAGTAAATACATGGTAGTTCTGGGCCACCTCTCAATGGGCACCCTCAATGCAAAAAATCGGAAACAAAGCACAGTGGCTGTCTGCTCCATAGACTTAGGATAGCACCCGCGTGCCGCTTCTCACACTAGGGCGTTTCAAGTCTCAAGACCAAGGGAGATGTCAGTTCCTTCGATCTGCTCCAGGTGAGCTTAAGGTAAAGACCAGTCTGTTAAGTGTGTCTGTTTTTCCCCAGGTGGGAAGTTGCTTTCCCTGGGTTACCCATCAACAGGAATGTAATCGTCGTCCCCAACACGCATGCCCCCTTCCCCCCATCCTGACTTAAATTTCCATTAAGTGTCTATCGTCACTCTCGGAGGCGTGTCTGTTGAGTTGGGGTGGACTTAGCACAAAGGTGCACGGCAGCAACTGTCTTTTCTTTCTCCCCGACATCTTGAAAATGCGCCCCCAGCTGAGGTGGCGTCTCCTCTGTCGAAGTGGTTTTTAAGATGTCTATATGAAGGGGGTGATAGATGGTTCTTGGGTGCTAGGCAGGCTCTCGACCACATTGCTTGAGAGAACAGAGAAGATCAGAGGCTCAGAGAGCAGAGACCTGCCTGCGTCTAGGTGCTTATCCTCATGGAGGTGAGCGCAGCATTATTTATCCTTTGGCGATGGACTAATTCCACCCGATATAATGGTTTTCAGGCCCCTCCGTGGCCTGAGCTGGTTCATGGTTTCATCGCTGGGTTCAATGCTTGAAAGCTTTCTTCTCCTTCCAGAACTGACTGCTTCTTTGGACGAGAGCTGCCCAGGGCCTCCATCCTGGCTCCTGTCTTTCCTGTTCTTCCCCAACCCGAGCCCACTAGCATTGAGCCTATTCTGAGCCATGTTAACCCCTCACTGGGGTTTCTGAGGCTGTCAATCTGGACCGTAGGAGGCCTGGTGGCACAGGAGTTACACACTGGGCTGCGGCCCACAAAGTCAGCTGTTTGAAACCACCAGCCGCCCCGAGGGAGAAAGGCAGGCTTTCTACTCCGGTACAGAGTTCCAGTCTCAGAAACCCACAGGGGCGGGCCTACTCTCTCCTCTAGGGTTCCTGTGGATTGGAACGGCGGACAGTGAATTTTTTTCTCTTTCCTTTTTCTCTGATCTTTATAGGAGCAAGCAACCTCATCTTTCTTCTTCGGAGCAGCTAATGGGTCTGAACCGTTGACCTTGAGGCTAGAAGTTCAACACTGATGTGAGGGCATTCTTGGTTTTCTGGTGATCTTTTGGGCTCATGAAGAGAAGGTCAAACCGCTGGAACTAGTGGCCTCGGGGACTCCTGCTGCTGCTGTTACGTGTCTGTGTGTGGTCCACACTCTCCCCCATGAAGGGAAGCCTGTCTGGGAGGACTGTGTCATGGGGGCTCATAGACCAGCTAGCTGCAGCTTTTCTGCACAGACTGGGACAGGCAGACAGGTAGGACCCTCTCCCAGGTATAATCTCCATCTTCAACATCAGAGTGATCCAACTGGGGGCCTTGTGAGACAGCAAGGGGCCCTGTGGGTAGTGGTTTACGAGTCGGGCTGCCAGCCACAAGGTCCACAGTTTGAAACCGCCCATGGGAGGAGGAGGCTTTTGCTCCTTACAGATGTACAGGGTCGCAGCCCCGCAGGGGCCAGTTCTACTCTGTCCTGTGGGGTCACTGAGTGGAAATGGGGTGATGGCAGTGGCTTGAGTTGAGTTTTGGGACACAACGGTTGAAACAACGGGTTCAAAGATGACAGCAATTGTGAAGGCGGCACCGGACGGAGCCTCACCTCACTGTCCTTGAAGGAGCATCCTGGCTGTACCGACTACAAGACAGATTTGTTTGTTCTGCCAGGGTCTCTCCAATACGCTGGTGCTGGACTTTGCCTTGTGTATTCCTTCAACATTACTGGGGACCTCTTATGAGCTGCGAGGAGCCCTGGTGGGACAGGGGGTTAAGTGCTGGGTTGCTAACTGAAAGGTGGGCAGTTTGAATCCACCAGCCGTCCCACAGGAGAAAGATGAGACCATCTGTTTCAGGAACGGTCCACTGCCTCAGAAACCCTATGGAGCAGGTCTGCTCAGTCCCACAGGGCCACCAGGAGTCAGAATAGACGCAATGGTAGCAGGTTTGGTTTGGCTTTCGGGCGGTGCAGGGCTGGGTGGTGCAGGGCCGGGCGGTGCAGGGCCGCAACCACTTGACAGCCAAACCCAACCCTAGGAGGCAGTTCTACAGTGTCCTAGAAGGTCATGAGTTGCAATTGACTCCATGCAATTGACTTCTGGAATGGGGAGTGTTATCTGAGAGGTATCTTCAGGAAACTTCAAGTGTTGTCCCTAGCCGAAGAACTTTCTGTACTTCCCCCCACCTCAAATGCATGGTACCTTGGTAAGGCTAAATGGATCATCAAAGCAACAGAAGCACTTTAAATTGTGGCCGAGTTGCTGGAAGCACGGCGGGGTCAAGTTAAATTTGGGTTTATGCTGTGAGCAAGCCCACAATTTGCTCAGTCTCCATTTGTTCCCCCTTCTCGTCTGGTTGCCCCATTCTGAATTAAACCCGAGCCTCTTCATGTTGAGAGCTACATGGAACACCCCACCAAATCTTGAGATAAAGAACAGAGGTATAAGAGGGACTGTCTAAGAAACGAGTTTATTCTGAAGAAGGAAAGCTGATGTGAGCAAACCGGGGGTGTCAATGTCTCCCTCCGACCCCACTGCATGAACTCAGCCTGTACACTGTCGTAGGTCTTGCTACAAGAGTCACAGCGAAGAGAGAGGCAGACCCTTCTCCCCGGCAGGGAGCCAGGACGCTGTACGCAAAACAAGGAGTGTACTTGGGCAAGCCCCTTCCAAGGAGGCGAGAACATTGACCATTTCCTTTTGTGTTTTTTGGTAAAAATTAAAAGTATATAAAATCACACGATACACTAACACATCTCTCAAGAAAGCCAAGAGATGATACTGACTGGCCAAAGGTCGGTTTCCGGTGTAAAAGTGGAAACTAGAAGCTGGATGGAAAATTAAGAACATCGTGGGGACCGAGAGACAGCCGGTGAAACAGAGGGCCAGCGGGGGTGAGGGACGGCCTCCCTGGGCTGACACAACAGACACAACAGCGAGCTCAAGCAGACCCAGGAGCGCCAAGACGATGCGGGACGGGCGATACTGCGTGGTCCAGTCACGACGCACGGGAGCCGGGTTGACCGCAACTACCTCGAATAGGAGCAGATGTCAAAGATCCCAAGAAGAGAAGCTCCGGGCACGCTGAGCACCAAGCGTGCTTTCAGCAGATGGAATGGTGGGGTTTCTTCAAGGAATGACGACAACCGATAAAAAGTCTACCGCTCAACGAGACCTCCCTATAGGACGAGCCCTGGCAGCGTAGTGGCTACGCTTTGGGCTGCTGACCCAAAGGTCAGCCGTTGGAAGCCACCATTCGCTCTGTGGGAGGAAGATGGGGCTCTCCACTCCGGTAAAGAGTCACAGTCTCAGAGACTTACCGGGCAGCTTTACCCGGTATCAGAGGGTCGCTGTGAGTCGGCATCCCCTCGAGGGCAGTGAGTTGGGAGCAGGTTCTGGCTGCATTCCAGACGGGCTGTGCTCTAACTAACGCTTCCACAGCTGTGCAAGTTCATTTCATTATCTCCGTTTGACAGCAAGGACACGGATGCCCAGAGGGATGACTTGCCTAAGAGTTCCAGGTAAGCAGATAAAAGGGTTTGAGCCTGAACCCAACGTCGAAGATTTGTCTCCTACATCACGTGTGTGTGCTACACGCCCCCTCCCCCCGTTGAGTGGGTCCCAACACATAGCAACCCGAGATGAGTCCCACACCACCCCATCTCCAAATCCACAGGCAAGCTGTCTCCTGAACAGAGGATAAAAGAGTTTGATTTTTCTCAGAACCCACGCTCCTCTTAGAAGAAGCTTCCTACCTGTTCTCGCATCCTAACTCACAGACGTGGAAGCCCCTGGTGAATGCCAATGGGCACTCTCCATGAGAACTTGGTTGGGGGGTGAGGGGGGCGGGAAAGCTGCGCTTCTACCGCAGGGCTGGGCTTTGGGGGAACGTGGATGACTCTGCTGAAGATCAGTGACCTGCAATGAGAGGAGTGTATCCGCCGCACCAAGAGGTGGAGAGCCAGGTTGGTTTGCACACCGCACTGTCTTGGAAGGTCGCAGAGAGGTGGGGAGCCAGGTTGGTTTGCACAC